AGCACCCCCCGACCTTCCCCTGCAAGCACCCCACCCGACCTTCCCCCTGCAAGCACCCCACCCGAGCCTCAGCCTGTGGGACAAGAGTGTGAGCATGTGCCTGCCTCCTCCAGGCACAGGGGTGCAGCCTCAGGACGGGGGTACAGCCTCAGGACAGGGGTGCAGCCTCAGGACAGGGGTGCAGCCTCAGGACAGGGGTGCAGCCTCAGGACAGGGGTACAGCATCAGGATGGGGTACAGCATCAGGATGGGGTATAGCCTCAGGATGGGCTGTAGCCTCAGGATGGGCTGTAGCCTCAGGATGGGCTGTAGCGTCAGGATGGGCTGTAGTCTCAGAATGGGCTGTAGCGTCAGGATGGAGTGCAGCCTCAGGATGGGGTGTAGCGTCAGGATGGAGAGGCAGCAGAGGAGAGGAGGCAGCTGGGCAGGGGAGGCAGCTGGGCAGGGAATCTGGGAGCTGGAGGAAGGTGCAGTAGGGTGGACAGGCCTGGCCAGGACAGGACTTCCTGTGGGGTGGTCCTGGCTGGAGGCCAAGTCCTGACCCAGGGCCTCAGTCCCCACCCCAGCCTGGACACCAGAGCCTGGGTTTGGTCCCCTCTCACTCTGTCCCATTCCAACCCCACAAGGCAGAGCCCGGTCCAGGTTTCCAGCTGGTCAGTCTGGCCTGGGCAGCACTGGGGGGGCCCCATGCCAGGGCTGGTCTGGGGTCCTCCAGCGGGGGAGCACGGGCAATGCCGGCATGGTAGGAGGCCCCGTCAGAGGGCTGAGCCTGCCTCAGGCGCCCCGCAGGCACACACAGCTCCCGCCCTGGGCTGGGCCAGCCAGGGGTCCTGGCCTACCCACAGGATGCCCCACAGCAGAAGGCTGCCGGCCTGGGCTGGCACACCCGGGCCTTCCCACATTCCTCTTCCTGTCCCCGCCCCATCCCCCCCCAGGCAGACCCCAGAGCTGCCCTTGGATCAGACTTGACCCCTGGGGCAGCCCAGGGACAGGGTGGGGTCCAGGCCACATTCCGGCCTGCCCTGTCCACCCAGATCTGTGTCCTCCCCCCAAGGGTGTCTAGAGGCTACACAGTCAGGGCCAGGGCCAGGGCTGAACACCAGCCATGGGGAGCCAGCCCAGCCCGGCTGCATCTCAGGTCCCTACCGGGCAGGTTGAATTTCTTTACCTTGGCTGTCACTCCCCCACCCCGCCCTGCTGGCCTTTCAGGGCCATGTTCCTGGGGCACAAGCAGGGCCACCCCTGGGGTAGCCAGGCCTGGAGAGGGATGGAGTATGGGAAGCAGTGACCAGGTCCTGGAGGAGGGCAGCGCTGAGGGGCAGGCAAGGTCCCGGCCAGCTGTGTCTCTGGCTGACCTCCCAGGGCCTCCGCCTCACCCCTGCCCCCGTGAGATGAACAACAGAGTGCAGAGCCTCTTACATAAGCGGTTTGTGGGAGATGAGCCGCAGCTGGGACCCGCTTCCCCGCCCCCAGGGCATCACGCGCTCCAGAGGGCAGGCCTTGGGCCTGGCCCATAAAGAGGGGTCCCCCGTGCCCGCGGCTCCTCTGGCTCAGCCGCCTCCTTGGTTGCCCCACAGTGCCAACCCCAAGCCCAGGACACCTGCCCTGCTTCAGCAAGAATGGCCGCCAGGAACATGCTGTGGGTGGGCCTGGTTCTACTCGGGGTCCTGGGGACGCAGGCCAACGACCCGAACTCTGCGCAGCCCCACTTCCTGATTGACAAGGTGAGGGTTGCTGTCCCAGACCCAGGACATATGAGGCCCTGGGGAATGGATTCAGTGGGGGGCGGGTTGAGGGGGGTGAAGTCCCTCTGGGCCTGACTGAGGGCTCCCCGCACGGAGGCCAGCGCCGGGGCCAGCAGAGCCGACAGAAGGATGCACAGCACGGCTGACTCAGCGGTCCTTCCCTGCACAGGGCCCACACCCCACCCCACACCCCCACGCCTGACCCGGGAGCAGGTGGCCTGGGATGGAGCAGCCCACGCGGGCACAGACGCAGCTCGGGGAGCTATGCCAAGCCAGCGCCCTCCCTCCTTGGCTGACCCGGGGGCGGGAGGTGCCCAGGGACACTGGCGAGGCGTCACACGAGAGGGTGGGGGGTACAGACGGGACAGGGGACCCTCCTCCCGAGGAGGGGCGTGGCGGGGGGCAGCCAAGAGGAAATGAAGCAGAGCTGAGGCGGTGGGAGTGGGGTCTGTCCAATCTGCGTCTTGGCCCCGGAAGGCAAAAGCGAAGGAATGGAGCCGGGCTGGAGGCGGGAGTGGGGGCCGGGGGCCCGGCCAGGGGGGTCTGGGCCACGCTGGCACGGATGCCCCCCGCAGTTCCTGGGCCCCTGGTACAGCGTGGGCCTGGCCTCCAACGCCAGCTGGTTCCTGGAGAAAAAGAACACGCTGTCCATGTGCAAGACCACGGTGGTGCCCTCCGGGGACGGCGGCCTGAACCTCACCTCCACCTTCCTCAGGTGGGACGCAGACCCGCAGCCCCACCCTGCCCTGCGGGGCTGGGGATGCCCTAGGGCCTGACCTTTGACCCGGGTGATCTGCCCACAGGAAGAACCAGTGTGAGACGCGGGTGGTGCTGCTGCAGCCCACGGCGCACCCCGGCCAGTACACCTACCACAGTCCTCGTGAGTGAGCCGCGAGCCCCCCTCCCCACTGCAGAGACAGGCAGCCCCAACCTCCGAGGCCCGAATCCACCCGCGACCTGCGGGTGTGGGGGCAGAGGCCTCCCCGGGGACTGCTCCCCCGCGTGTCACCATGCCCTGCCAGGCCTTCCTCCGTCCAGACGGAGCACACGGGAATGCCCGGCTCCAGCCGTGCCCGGCAGTTTCCGCCTCAGGACCCAGGGCCTTCCCGCTCCCCACTGGAGACGTGCCCCCCGCCCCGGAGCCCCGCCACCAGAGCCTGCCCTGTGCTTCCTGCCCTTTCTCTCAGGATTTGTACTTAGGGGACGCGGTTCTGCGGCCGTGTGGGCAGGGAGTGGGCTGGCGGCCGCACTCCGGGGCCAGGGAAGGCTGCGGATGGCCCAGGGAGCTTTCCCAGGAGCCAAGGGCCTGAACACCCCCTGCCCGCCCGCAGCCACACACCGCAGCCGGGGCGCCCTGCCTCCAAGCCGGGCGGGCGAGGGTTTGAGGGAGGAGCACTCCAGGCAGGGTGCTTTCTTGGGTTCTCAGACTGGGGCAGCGTCCACTCCGTCTCGGTGGTGGAGACCAACTACGAGGAGTACGCGATGCTGTTCAGCAAGGGCCTCGATGGCCCCCACCAGGACTTCCGCATGGCCAGCCTCTACAGTGAGCCTCCCGCCCACGGGCACCCTGGCTCCCAGGGGAAGCCCCCCCACACAGGGGGGGAGCAGAATGACACCCCCACACATACCCGCATCCTCCCTTCCCTGCCAGGCCGCACCCAGACCCCAAAGGCTGAGCTGAAGGAGGATTTTGCTGCCTTCTGCAAGTCCCAGGGCCTCACAGAGGACACCATTGTCTTCCTGCCGCAGCCTGGTGAGGGGGAGCAGGAATTACAGGCAGATTAGAGCAGCGAGCAGTCCTGCCTGGAGCCGGTGGGGTCAGGCTGGGGGAGGGGTGCCCTTCCCACCATGGGGCCCCAGCTCGGCTCGGGAGGGAACCAGGGCTGGGGTCTGTGCCAGGCCTCGTGACCTCTGCTTGCAGCCATTTTCACGCTGAACTGCCTCCCTGGCACCAAACAAGCAGGGGTTGATAGAGCCCAGCTCTTAGGGTCTGGGGCGGGGGGGGCTCCCCACTGTTGGGAGGGACGGGAAGTATACTGGCGGGACCTTGGGCCCAGGCCTGGACACTGATCAGGCCTCTGGGCTTCTGTCTCCACAGACAAGTGCATCAATGAGCAAGAATAGGAGAGCCAGACCACCAGGTAGGAGCCACTCACCCGCCTGGCTTCTATGCACCGCGCGGAGACGGGCCAGAGCATCCTGGTTCCAACCTAGAATAGGCTGATGGTGGCCCAGTGGTCTTGGAGTAGAGGGTGCAGTGCCCGGGAGGAGAGGGAGGGCTCCCCCGCCCCCCGGCGGGGACCTTCCAGCATGGGGTCTCTGGCTGCTAGGGGGCCATGCAGGCCTGGGGGCAGGGCAGGAGGGCGGGAAGCCGCATGGGAGCAGAGGGCGCTCTCGGGGCCAGGCTCTGGTGGAGCTTCAGGAGGGCCGGTCCCGGGGTGGCCTGCACTGCTGACCGCTGACCGGGTCCTGCTCTCCAGCCAGCTTACGCGCCCGCCATGCCTTCGCTGCTCTGCTCCTTCCCCGAGACCCCGGGCTCCCACAGCGCCTCTGTCCCCCAGCTTGGCCCTGGCTCTGAGGAATAAACTCTGGAAGCAAGTCAGACGCTGGCTCCTGTCGTGCGTGTCCACCGGCCTTGGTCCCACTGGGATCATCATCCCACGGCGGGGGGCTGCTGGCCCCGGCCCAGGAGGGGCTTCCCCCGCCCAGGGCTGTCCCACCCCCTGGCTGTGCCTCCCCACGGCCCTCCCCTCCAGCCGCTGACCAGCCACAGCTAGGCTGGCTGGCCAGGCTCCCAGAGTCCACCACCCAGCGCTAATCCCCGGACAGCTGTCCACCCCTTTCTGCCTCCCATCCTGAGCAGGAAAGGCCCCAGGGAACTTTAGATCCCAAGAATTGTTCAGATACGGGATTAACACCCTCAGATTGGCAAAGATAAGGTTTCGGGGGAGAAGAAGGAATACTGGCTGGAAAGGTGCCCAAGCACCTAACGGGCAGACAGTGCTCTGGCCACCCCACCCACACCGCTGCCCTCAGCGATCAGGCCCCCTGGCCCTTACCTGGGCTCCAGTGTCCACCTCTGCCCCCATGCTGGCTAGCCACTGCCCGGTACCCCTTCCTGACCCCCCTGCCAGGTGGCCATGCTCAGGTCCTTGTCCATATTCCTTGTAGTTCAAATTATATGGGCCAGACACAGGCAGATCACACCAGATTTCAAGGCTGAACTGTAAGGGTGGCCTCTGGGTGGCCTTCCTGAAGGAGGAGGCCTGAGCTGTGTCTACTTTGATATCCCAGAGGGGTTCTGGAGGCCCGAGAGGAGCCCCTGGCCTAGAGGCTCCAGGAACATGCGTTCCCAGCCACCAAGCTCCTGGACCTGCCCACAGGAAGCTCAGGGCCTAGGGGGTGGGGGGTGGAGAGGAAGCAGCTGGGCCAGGTGCAATTCAATAGGGAGCCTATCGCAGTGGGCTGGCCGGGCCTGTGGCCAGCCCCCTCGGGGCATCTGAGGGGCACAAAAGCCCCTGGGAAGACGCCGCCTCAGCTCCTGCCCTGGTCCAGTGCTTGAGGATCCAGTATGATGTGGCAGGTTCTGATGGTCAGCTCCCTCCTTGCCCTGCTCCAGGCCTCTCCAGGCCGGGCACAGGTCCCCATCCAGGACAACTTCAACGCTGACCAGGTGCGCCTGTCCCCACCTCCACCCCGTCCTGCTCGCTTCTCTGTCCCACGCTCCTGTCCACACCATTTTTTTTTTGGTCAGTCATGGGGCTTGAACTCAGGGCCTGGGCACTGTCCCTCAGCCTTCAGCTCAAGGCGAGCGCTCTAGCACTTGAGCCACAGCACCACCAGTTTTCTGGTGGTTATTGGAGATAAGAGTCTCACGGACTTTCCTGCCTGGCCTGGCTGTGAACTGTGATCCTCAGATCTCAGCCTCCTAAGTACCTAGGATGACAGGCGTGAACCACCGGCGCCCGGCTCCCACACCGTTTTTTGACACAGGCCTCATGAAAGGCCCCCTACATTTGTCCCATTCCACTGAGTGTCGGGTGGATGGAGGAGCCCAGCCTTTGCTCTGTTAGCTGCCACTGCCTGCAGCCCCACGGTGGGACTGGGGAGACCCTGTCACAGAGACTCCAGCTCTCTTTGCTTTGCCAGAGAAGCAGCCATGTGAGTTCAGGACACAGTGGGCCCGGAAGCCAGCCCAGGGCAGGCTTCTGGACCTCCTCCTCTGCTCCGCAGTTCCAGGGTACCTGGTACATTGTTGGGGCTGTGTCAGATGACCAGAGTTTCCAGGACTCCAAGGACGACATGAAGATGCCTGTGGTCCTAGTGACCCCCTTGGGCAACGGCGACCTCGCCGTCAAGTTTGGGTACCCCACGTAAGTGACCCCACCAGCCTAGGAGTGAGTTTGGGTACCCCACGTAAGTGACCCCACCAGCCTAGGAGTGAGTTTGGGTACCCCACGTAAGTGACCCCACCAGCCTAGGAGTGAGTTTGG